GGGTTTTTCGCCAAAACGAGATTTTAATGGCCATTATTTCATTGATTAGTCTACTCTTTATAATAGTCCATGTATAATTATCTATTTTATCTATGATAATTCTATGATTTTTCTTTCATATGATGCAAATTTAATGGTTAACATAAGTTTATACAGAAAAAAAGCATCTCATTATTCACAAATTGATGTAAAAAAGTTAATATAAAAGTTAATAATGTAGTACTTTTATTTCTTATTGGATTCCTAACAAACAATATCTATAGTGAATTTTAATACTTTTTTCAGATTTTTTTGAAGCTTTAATCCAACTAATTTAGCCGATTCCCGATCCGAATCGCTGATTCGAAACTGTTTTTGAGATACCCGATTTGGGTCACCGATCCGCTTTTTAAACCATTGATTTCAACCTTAAATATAAACTCTTCCTAAATTGTTTCCCTCTGTTTGTCATTTGTTGGAAGATTTGGGTATTATTGGGATTAAGGAATGCGTTGGACTGCGTGGCGCCGGCTCTCTGATACAAGCGAAAGCTAGGGTTTTGCAGGAGGAGACCAGGGTTTGAAGGGGAGCCGATAGTTGACGTTTTTGCAGGAGAGGAAGAATCAGGGTGTTTTAATGGCGAAGATCAATGCCCCTCTGAGAAACAATATGGGCGATCGCAGGTCTCGAATCTCGGATCGCAAGAGGAAAATGAAGGGGGATCCAATCACTGGAAAGCTTAAGCAAACAAATGCTCCCACTTCAATTTCAGGAAAGAGAAAGAGAAAGCTCTTCAAGAAGTGGAGAAAAGTAATTCTCAAATCTGTGTTTTTTTTTTTTTTCCTTTTTTATATTCTTTGATTATTTTCTTTCTTGGTTCATATGAAGTAGCACTCATGGAAATACACTTATTCTTTCTATTTTCTTTGGGTTATTCTATTGTTTACATGTATTTCCTCTCACTATTTTTTTTTTTTCGAAATTTAGTTGTCTGTTTTTGCATCTTATACCTGTTCTTGGTAAATTCTGGTTTTCAGGTAGGATCCAACTTTAAATTCTAGGTTTTGAAATGAGCCGTTTTCTCTCTTTTCTCCATAATCAGAAATGCCCGACTCACCGAACTCTGCATACTTCTTTTTTTGTTTGTGTGCTTTCTGATTATTTATTTCTTTATATGCAATACAATTGGTTTTTCAATTCAGGGACAGAAGGAGGCATTGCAGAAGGGTCTCGTAACAATGGAAGGCATTGAAATGGCTGTGACCAATACTGAAGGTTCACGTTTAACCCTTTGAACCACATATATGGTTACGTATGATTTTACTAGACATGAGCTTGAAATTGATTTCTTATAATTCTTGTCCTTTTCTTTTCCCCAATCTAATGGCAGTGATGAAGAGGAAGCATGGTTCTTTAAAAAATTTGTGTCTACTTGCTATTCATCGGCATTGGGTTCTTCACATTTCCTTGGCGATGTGCAAAATGAATAAATAGGAAAAAGGGAACCTGGTGGCTAGGAAATAACCACATGTATCATATAATTTGGGGGGCAGCAGTAGGTGAGATTGCTGTTGATTAGTACTGAACCAAGTAGAGGCACAAAATGTGCGTTTAGGTTGCCTACAAGCTGAGAATTTGGAATGGGGTTGATTCAAATTCACCCATATTTTTTTATGGTATTTTTTTTAGTTTTCTCAGGAACTTTCCTGAGGTATGATTTCTCAGGAGATCATGAAAATTTTAATATGTCTTGGAATTTATGAAATCACATGAAAGTTTGAAAGAGGGGAACATTATAAAACCAGGAAAAATGTAAGTATCACTTGCATCACCATCTCATTTAGTTTGATTGGTATGACTGTGGGCTTTATTTCTGTGGATCTTTAGGGTGGGGTGGACATTATCCTTGGTTTGGTTTTGTGGTAAGGGACTTCATTTGTTATGTGAACCTTCAATTCTAGAATTAAGGAATAAATTTCCTTTGGGGTTTACATTTTGAAGCACCATTAGTGCTGGTCATCATCATGATGTATATTATCTCTAGAAGGAATGATGTGGTTGTCGATGCTACAGTAGATAACAGTGGTACTAGGTTTACATTTATATTTCGTAAAAGTTCTACTCAATTTTATTCTGTAACATCTATCTTTATTAGTGTTTAAAAAGTTGGACTTGGGCTCCGAGAACCCGAGTCAGCTAGGGAATTCTTAACAAGAAAAAAAAGATTACTGAAAAACTGGGAGACTTGGGTGATTCTGGGGTTTTTTGGCTTGGAATTGCCAGCCCATTGATCTGGTTGAATTGGGTGAGACCTGAGTCGAAGGGGCGACTTGTTTTCAAACATTGGCTTTAATAACCCAAGAAAACAAAAAGATATAGGGACTGCCACATACCGCTAGTTTGTGTAGGTGTAGTATGAGTATCTCGTCGTGACGGTCATTTTTAACTATTGAACTAGTTTGAATGATATGTTGACTGGAACTGTAATAATATGGTTTTAGTTTAAGCTTTGAGTAGTGTAGCCGGAAAAGAAGAATAGTAGTAGCTTGACTACGAAAAAAAGTAGGCCTCTTAATTTTTTTCCTATCAGAAATGAGATCAAGCCATCAAGCCATTTTCACTTGATTGATTGGGGTGGCATCTTTTGAATATGGGTTTCGATAGTTTGTACATCGGAAGATAGTTCGGTTCCTAGACATTTGCAAAATGTGGGTGTTCGCCCTATGAACTGTACTTTATACTATTATTCTGTGAGGTAGGAAAAATGTAATTTTTTGTTATTTACCTATATGCCAATAGAATAGAGATAGTATTTTGTTATGTGCCAACTTCCATTTTTCATTGCGGTCGTTGTTGAAGAATGTGCTTCCGTGTTTATAGGTGCTTCGCACAAAGCTGATAAGGTTCCAACCAAGTTTCAGTTGAAGAAGTCTGCGAAACTTAGATTGAAGAAGCACAAGGGTAAAGGTTAGTAAATTCTCTCTTGGCCTTCAAAGTGTTGAATAAAACTTCATAAATACAAGGAATAAAACACGTCGGCCTGAAAAAGTGAATGTATTGAGATAATTTTGATAAGGAAAAAATTTATATAAGGATGGAACCTTATAATGTAGAACTACGGATGCACCTCAAAAATCCATTGGAAAAGGTAGTTTTAATGTTGAAAAACCCTTTGATTGATTATCTTGACATCGAGATGTATGACCATGAAAAATAAAAAGATTTTAAGTTTCAGAAATAGTGCATTTTACAACATATTATCTACGCCGTCCATTTTCAAGAATTTCATATGTTTATAGATCTACTTGATTTTAACTATTTTTTAAATTTAAAATTTTATAATTAGATATAAAAATAGATTTTGAGATAATCCTAAGCACATTTTATCTCAAAATTATATACCATGATAAATTTTGAAGGTGCACCTTACGTTGACAGCTACGGATGCATCCGTTTACCAACTGCACCACGCTTTTGATGTGGTAAAAACCAATGTGGTATTTGTGTGTGTGTGGGTGCATGTGCACACGCGCACCTGTGTGTGTGAGAGAGAGAGAGAGAGTTCTGTCTGAAATCTTCTCCCATTTGTTCTACTTGGTGCAGGTAAGGGCATAGTACAAACCTCAGCACCCTTTGTGGATGCCATGGCGGAATGATTTCCCTGCAAGTTCTCAGATGTTCCCTCTGAGATTGGTCAGCCATTGCTGCATACATTAACAAGCCCGGTTAATGAGGCCTTTAAGGCTGAAGAGCCTTCTTTATTCCTTTGTGCATATTTCAAGATATGAAGTCACACTCCAAGAATGATTAACATACTGAACATCCCAAATGACATTTTGATTGTAGCAAATGTGGCATCATCGACAAAAGCAAAAGCACCCATGTCTCCTTTTTCCCATTTTTTCATTTTTGTTTGAAAGTACGAAGTTTTTTATTTTTTATTTTATGGGCAATAGCTGGATGTGGGGCCTGCATTTGAGATGATACCCCATCAGTATATGATAACACTTGGTAAAGCACTTGAACATATAGTGTAGATCATCTCTAGTGAGTGTTTCCATTATTAGGAACTAAAATTATGGTTAATCTCCACCATCCATCATTGGGAATGGGTGGTGGTGGGTTTCCTGTTGCATACCATGCATCACTTGTGCATTATATGGTACTTCAGAAAATCTGAAGTTTTTTATGAGATGCAGTTGTTGATGATCTTCATGATCACTTGGAATATGTGGTCACAATGGTCATCACAAGATTCCCAATCCAATCAATGAGATGGACGGGGATGGACTGGGACCAGCCAATCATGTCATGTATTGTCCAAAAATTGACTTATTGGATGGTTGTGCCCCATGAACGCATACTCCCTGTGATCATGAGGATCACAATATGATTTGTTGAAAGTGAGTGGTATATAAGCTCGATGATTATATGGCTCATGGGAAATAACCCTGTAGGGAGAGAGCACAAGGCGCAATAGAAATTTAACCACCACATGAAGGCTCTTTGCAGCAAAATCTACAACATCATTTCCCAATTGAACATTGGTCATATTGAATATATAGCAAATAAAAGGAACTTATATCGCTGTGGGGTGTTTACACAAAATTAGATAAAAACTTCTGTAATAGCCTACTAAAAAAAAAAAAAGGGAAATGAAGAGTTTATGACTAAGTACTCCTACATCAGGCAAAAGGCCTTACAAATTATCAAAAGGGTTTAAGCTATCCAATCCAATATAGAAATAGAGGGTTACATCACAAGTTTAATATCACTTTTTTTTTATTGATAAGTTGGAACAAGTCGAGGTATTTTGATAATTTTTACCTATTTAAGTAACAAAGTGAAATGATATAAATGTTAGGAAACCATGACATGTTTTCACAATAGATTGCTTAGATATAACAAGTAGGGGTTATCTCATCGGGCTCAGGCATGAGCCAAATGACTAATGAACGCGCAGTTGTTCAGACTTGTGAGCCCAAAAAGCATATTTTTTCATTGGATATGCTTGTTTAGGGTTTGCGTTTTTCATTGGATATGCTTGTTTAGGGTTTGCATTTTTCATTGGATATGCTTGTTTAGGGTTTGCGTTTTTCATTGGATGTGCTTGTTTAGGGTTTGCATTTTTCATTGGATATGCTTGTTAAGGGTTTGCGTTCTATACCTTGAACAAGGAAGGGCAATACTTATTATGCTCGAATTTAAGTAGCCCTTGTGAGTTGATGGCTACTTATTAGAAATAGGAACCAGAAATAAGTACTATTTCGAGTCATCCACTTGACCCGTTTTTTAAAACGCTGCCCAAATCCAATTGTGCAGTCCTCCTTAATACAATCCATTAGTCACATCCCAAGGAGGAGGATGCATGCATGTCGAATTTTAGCCTTCCTAATTTGGAAATCTTTGTATTTTTAAATGGTGGGGTTTGTATAAGGTTGAGGCCCAAAACAATCGAAATAGAACCTGGTTTCTATGCAGCCAAGCCTGCATATGTAGAGATGCGAGCCTCATAATAAATCTATTTTTGAGATGGATTTTAAGACTTAATTTTTAAGGATGTGTAATCTCTAACATGGAGACTATAAATATGAAAAAAAGAAAATTAAAAATTAGAAATAATAATTCTAGTAAAAAAATATTTGGACGGTTAGTTTCCATTGTTTTTAGATGGAACACCTACTTACATCTATCTTTAAGATGGATGCTTTACACTTTCTGGACCGCATATGTAGAAATACGGTCAAGCCTGCATGAAACAATTTTCCATCAGAATAAGTCGTACCTTTAAATAGTGATGAAAGGTGATTTCTCAGCGGTAAAAGTTTTTGCGATTGGCTTGAAATTTATTTTCACCTCTAATTATAGACTAAACAAATTTTTAAACACTAAAAAATATTGAAAATTGACGGCCAAATAATACATTACAAGATGTACTATTCCCAAACTTGAAATCCATTTTTTTTTTCACATTTTATGCATCTCAGGGTCGAGATGATTGATTTGAGGGTTTTTCGACATCCAAACAACCGCTTCTAGCGAATTTTTAAGGTGCAACTTTAGGGCCTTAACCTTTTATAATTTTTTTCCTTTTCAAAAGATCTCATGCCACATAGTTGGCCAATTAAATTGTTTATTTTTGAATTCTAATGGATGGTGTGTACGGTGTAAAGATCCATGTATCTATTTTAGACTATCAATGACAAATAAGTATTAATGCCCGTTGATTCTTTCATACATATTAAGTACTCCTTTATAAGTACCACGTGATCGGTTTGTCAAAAAAAAAATATTAGTAAAAAAAGAGGGAAAATGGGAAATTTATGTAGCCTCTAGATAGTGTGAGTAAAAGTATTGTTTCCTAATATTATTTTTATATCTACATTATTATTTCTCTAGAAAAAATTGAACTTAAATTATATATCTTTTAAGAGTAATGATTATGTAGGACCTTCATTTATTCATGTGTGTAGGACCTCAAAGGATCACCATTAAATTTAACACAGATATTTTAAAAAGTTATCACATGGGTATGAGAATTGATTTTTTTAGAGATCTGGGCTAAATTTAACGATGATCCTTTGAGGCCCTACGCATATGGGTAGAGGAGGTCCTATAGTATCATTTCTCATATATTTTAAAGAAAAGTTTTATATAAAATTGCAGCCTTATACTATATAAGTAAGTTGCACCAAAAAAATCCGGTAGAAAAGAGTGTTTCAAAGTTGAAAAACCTTCCAAATATAACAAGGAAAAAGTTTATATAAGGTTGCAACCTTAAAATGTAGAAGTATAGGTGTACCACAAAAATCCATCGAAAAAGGTTGTTTTAATGTTGAATAATGTTGAAAGACCCTCTAATTGATCATCTTGACATCGAGATGTATGAATGTATAAAAAAAAATAGTTTGAGTCCCAAAAATAGTGCATCTTACAACACATTATCTAGACCGTCCATTTTCAAGATTTTCACATATTTATAGATCTATATGATTTTAGCCAATTTTAAAGTTTAAAATTTTATAATTAGATATAAAAATATATTTTTAAATAATTCTAAAAAAATTTTACACTAAAATTATAGATATAATAAAATTTGGAGGTACGCCTTAATTGGATTGTTTAAGGTTGCAGCCTTATTGGATCCACACCCATATAACAAATTATTTTGGCCATAAGAAACGGTGATAAAGGCACTCTCAACCAGTGGAAAGACGGTGATAAAGAGTGTGGGACCCGCCACTTGGATTGCATGGTGATGATACTCCTATTTGTATGACTACTGTTTAGCATAAATAACAGTAGTTCGTATTTGATCAATACGCCTCCACAATTAAATAGTTGTAGTCACATCTTTCGATCTTGGATCACTGTGTTCTAAATACTGCAAATTTTAGAGAGAGAAATAGAGTTTATAAGAGAGAGAGGAAGAAAAAAAATAAAATAAACAAAGGCAAAAAAATCAGGGAAGAGGGATAAAAACCCTTGTTCCCAAATCACGGTTCCTGCACGAGAAAAACTGGCACCCACGACTAAAACCTACCTCTCTCTCTCTCTCTCTCTAAAAAAGAGCCTCTCCCCTTCTCTCTCATCCTGCTACAATTAATTATCATCATTTTCTTCAGGTAAGGCCTTCCTCACCTTTTAAACTCTCTCTTTCTCTCTGACTTCTTTCTGCATTTTATTTCTTCAAAGCTGGTTTTTGTTCATGATTCCATGCCCCAAAAAGAAAAAGAAAAAAGACGAAGAATCGATCATTTGGGGTATATTTCTAATAAGGTTTTGTTATCTTATGTTTATAAGAACTTGCAAAATAAGGCATTTTCATGATTTGGACCGAAATAGAGGTTTGCTAACTTTGAATCCAGGTTTTGTAGTATCTCGTATCAATTTTCATGTATTTTTTCTCTTCTTTTTTGAAATTGTGGATTTGGAGTATGTCTAAAATCTCATTTTTACAAGGTTTCATGAAAAGGTTAGTGATCTGGGTATATTTAGACTCCGGTTGCCTAAGATCTAACAATCATTAATTTCATCCTCATGAAGAAATCAATCAGATGATATTCTTAAAATCATGTTTGTTGAGAATTAGGTTTTCTGAGATCTAGTAATCATCATTCCTCTTTAATTTCTTTTTCTGTGAAAAGTTACTGTTTTGGATGTGCTCAGAATCATTTCTTTTTTGATGATTTCAGAAAAACAATTTAGTTTCCGTTCTCAGTCAAAGATATGGTTTTGTTTATCTTTTTGGATGAAAAAGATTTGATCATTTGGAAGGTTCAAACTCACATTCTTTTGTTATGGGTTTAGGGAAACGATTTGATCTTCTAGTTGAAGATCATAGGCCAAGGAAGGAGGGTGAAGAACTTTGCCAGCTATTGGTAAAAATTATTTTCCCTCTAGATCTGTTAACAAAAAAATTCCAAATTGTTTAGAAACTACTCAGTTTAGCATGTTAAGAAAGCTCTTCTTTTTCTTTGCGTTGTATTTGTTGAAGATCTGGGGGTCAAGGAGGAGGACATTCATCTTCAAGATGGTGGTGAATATGGGATTGGTTGGTTGTATCTTTCTTCTATTTGTGATCTCTGGTTTCAAAGTTGGAGCAGATGGGTCCGATCACAAATATAAGCAAGGAGATCGGGTGCCTTTGTATGCAAACAAAGTCGGCCCTTTCCATAACCCCAGGTAAAACCTCCTCCATGTGTTTTTTCTTTTTGCAAGAATTTTGCAATATGATGAAATCACGTTTCTTTTGTCATATTTTTTATTGTTACTGTTTTTGGTTTGGAGTTCTGATGCAATTATTCATTTATATATTTATCACCTTTATTCTTAAGTCAAGATGGGTTTTTGCTATTATTTGGAGTGGATCTGAGTCATCTGACTAAAGTTTTAATGGTCTGAGCTGTTTAGTTGTGTGCTTTCTTTTATTCGTGCACTATATTAAAAGAAAATGAATCTTAAACCACAGATCCCTTCATAAGCCCCTCAAGTTGATAGAAAGAAGAATAGTTTGTTTGATTTAGTGTGTTGTTGTTGCATGTTTCTTTGAATGAAGTGCAATTGTGGATATGTTAGTTGTCTTCTTGTCTGGGCCCCATCTTTTGTCTTTTGATGAATCTTATTTCTTACGAAAGGAAAGGAAAATGAGTCTCACAATATCTTTCATATAGAATTTGTTGTTTTGGTTAAAAAACACATAACTTGGTGTATAGCATATGCATGAGTTACGATTATTACGAGTAAGCTGTGCATAGCATATGCATGAGTTACGATTATTAGTAGTTAAAGCAAAAACGACCTGGGGAAGAATCAAGGGAGTTGGATGAAAATGGGCAACTCCTTCCTAATTACCTCCTACTTAGAAACCGAATGAGCTCTTTCATTATCTTCATTAAGGACATGATGAAAGGAGATAAACAGAAAGTAAATATCATGCAACACTGTTTTTTCTCGCGAAATCTTCTACCATTGACCATTTGACCGTCTTGATACCGAAGGAGGCCTCCCATGGTCCCACCCTAGACTTCTGGAGATCCTATTAGAGTTGCCGATGAGTTTCAATTTTATAATGTTTTAGATCATAGAGGTGGTTTGCCTGACTGGGATTCATGAGCTCACTGAACACTTTAATAGTTTGTTCATGTCCATATTCTCCCTTGCAATTCTTTCCATGCAAGTGCCCATGGATAATTGAAACCTGTTCCTTCCTTAAGGATTGGCTCATGATCACAAACATGTATGAAGTTCAAGTTGTCCATTTCCTTTCAAATACCCTTTAAGCTTGATAGATGACACATATTCCTTAGGATATTTGTCTAACAAGAATTTGGCTTGATGACTAGCCTCTCTTTAAGGAAACTCCTTAGAATCCCAAAAAGAGGCTCCTAAGCTATCTTGTAAACATAAAGACATGAACGGTGAGCCAAAATTCTTGTACCATCATCAATCCTAGACTTAATTCCCCATTCCTATGCTATCCTCTCTCTATAAGGAGGTATCAAATGGCTGATGTGTCATTGGTGAACAGGAGGTGGGAGATCACAGCTCGTCTTATCTCCACTATATGTTCTTCAATCAATCCCATTGTAGCCACTCTATTACCGATGGTGATGAAAGCTTCCATGATGTAGTGTACATGGTTCTATTGCTGAATCCTGTGGAGCCACAATATTTTTCTGGAGTTCCATTCATCAATACAGAGACGCGACAAGCAGATATAAATAATCTAGAACATAGTCTGTAAAGGCCCAATCTATATAGTTATCGACAATCTCCTTACAAGCCTTCTGTACAATTCATTGTTTCTCCCCATGTGCCTCTAATTCAAGCGTTCACTTGCCCCTAATGCTTCTCCGTACCAAAAAGCACTTCTGAAAGCCATCATTTGACCCAATACCTCCCTTGGCCCCATTGAAAGAACTTATGGCCATATTTATTCCCACTTCCCTCCAAAATGATGGGTTTAAACCACAGAGTCTCCTTCATTCTCTACCAAGGTGAAGACTGCACATATTACCTTTTCTGCTTCAAAGTTATGTTTCAGTCCCCATACCATCCTTCTGGGATGCTAGGAATGGTGAGACTGTCCAGTGCTGGCCTCTTGTGCCCTTCCACTAAACATAATAGCTAAAGGAAACTAGTGGTCATATTGACAATTCTGTGTTCTTCATACTGGACTCCATCTACCTAAATGCTCCTTATATGGTTCTATTTCTTCCTTGCATTAACAATCTTCCTCTAACCAAAACACACTTATCTTTTTCAGTGTTTTCCTCTCTCTCTCTCTCTCTCTCTCGCTTTCTTTCAGACACACACACATGCATGCACATGAGACACACAGAATATCGTTGAATTCTTTTCCCCTGCCAAGGAACACCTTGTGAGAGTAAGACCATGTGATTAGAAACCTCCTTTGTCCCCACTGAGAGAATATCCACACACACGTGCATGCTAACTGTTCGGTAAGAGAAAATAAGAAATAAACAAAAGCTTGAGGCCAAGGATCTGTTAAACCTTACGGGACATATGCCTTTCGAATCATGACTAAAACCTCAGTTCTAACATGGTAGGTGAATAGCTTGAAGTCGGTGGGTTTCCTTTTTATTATATTTTTGTTATTGGATTTTGTTATAAGGGAAAATATCTCCATACCCTTCTTTTTTAGGTTTCATTTCACAATAGACCAAAGGCTTTAAAAGATATCTTGGGGCGTAAAAATTGTAGATTTTATTTCTTCTAACCCCTTGAGCTAATTTAAACCTGTTTTTTTAGGCCAAACAAATCTAAAAAGACATGCGTTTTCTAAAAGCCATCCTCCCAAACTTCTAGAGAGAGAGAAAGGCTTCATGGAGGTGAGAGGTTATCGGGAGGAGAGAGAGAGTGAGAGATACAAGGAGAGAAAGAAAGAGAGAAGTTTGGGGTATATAAGTGAAGAGAGAGAAATGATTGGGTTTAGAAAGAGCATGTCTTTATCACATTTGTTTAGGTTAAAAACTTGGTTTAAAGTGGCCGGGGGTTATAAAATATCTTTTGAAACCTTGAGTTTATCAAGAAATGAAACCTAAAAGGGATATAGAGATATTTTCCTTTGTTTTAATTATGTAGCTACAATATTTTTCTTTTTCCTTTTCAATTGAGCTATAATATTAACTGTGTGACGATCTTGTGCTTGCAGTGAGACGTATCGATATTATGATCTGCCTTTCTGTTCACCAGGTTTGTAGTTCTTAAAGAAATCTTTCTTGTTGTATCCAATTGCATTTTTTAAATTGGAATGCTAGATTATTTTATTGATTGATTCAGAAGTTTTATTTTCTGATTGACTCAATATCTTTTTAATAATCAACAATAATTACCTAAAAAAATCCTATATAATCCTATACAGTATATTTTTACTGCATTATGGTACTTCCATAGGGAAATGTCCCCACAAGGCTGTGACACATGTAATGAGGGGGTATATTTCATATTGTCAGTACATTGTATTTTGGTTGCACTTGCTTTGTACATCACAACTAAATGTTTTGTTGGACAATTCCATTTCTTACTGTCATGGCAAAGCAAAGCCACTCCTGTACCCCATGGTTTCCTTTTGACACAATAAATACAATGTAAACTACAAGTACATGTTTTTCCCCTATTTTAAGAATAACCAAACTAGTATTTATATTTAAATCAACTTATTCATCTTTCATAAAAGGTCAGGATATCATTATGTTTTGGTTAAATTTTGTTCTTGTAATTTCATGCGATGCATAATTGTTAACATTGGCTAGTCCCAGACTTAAAATTATGTGCTTAAAAATTGAATTGCCTGAAACATGATTTGGCTTTAGTCTAAAAAAGTGTTTTGTAATTCTGTGCGCTATGTAAACCCATAGTCCATAGGGGTCATTGCTGTCCAGTAAATCTTTTGACAGTGATGGAGACTAGAGAAACCAGAATTGATATGACCCTTTGGATGGGTCCTGTCTCTCTTCATTGCTGCACATCATTTCATTGGATGGTGATGGCTGATGGTCTATAATTTTACATGATTATTTGAATTGTGGTATAGTTCCCTTCATTTGGATTACGGTAAATTTTCCTTGTGGTAATCAGAAAAAATCAGCATACATGGTTATGGTTCCTAGGGCTGACATAATATAAAATCATAAATTCACAGAGCATGTAACTGAGAAGAGGGAAGATCTCGGAGAAGTCTTGAATGGGGATCGCCTAGTCGATGCCCCTTATCAACTGCAATTCCGGCTTGAGAGAGAGTCTGAGGTTCTTTGTAAGAAGAAATTATCAAAAGACAAAGTTGCCCAACTAAGGGATGCTGTTAATAAAGACTACTACTTTCAAATGTATTATGATGATTTGCCTATTTGGGGATTCATCGGGAAGGTTGATAAGGATAACAAAGCCGACCCAAGCGAGTATAGATACTTGCTTTTTAAGCATATCCACTTTGAAATCTCTTATAATAAGGACCGTGTTATAGAGATAAACGTTAAGACTGACCCAAATTTCTCAGTGGATATTACTGAGGATAAGGAAGTGGAAGTAGAGTTCTTATATTCTGTGAAGTGGAAGGAAACTGATACCCCCTTCGAGAAGAGGATGGACAAATACTCGAAGTCTTCCTCAATGCCTCAACACTTGGAGATTCATTGGTTTTCAATCATAAACTCGTGTGTCACAGTCCTCCTGTTAACTGGGTTTCTTGCTACCATTCTCATGCGTGTCCTGAAGAATGATTTTATCAAGTAAGAAAGAATCATGGATTTACTGGTTTTCTTTATTGGGAAATATTGCTATAATTCGATGGTCTATGGAAATACGATGGGCCATTGGATCCTCACTGTCCATTTACATGAAGGATGATGATGGAGAGGGATTGGGACTCACTATTATGTTCTGTTCAATGATCACTTCCATAGTTCATTGAATTATTGAATATTTTCCCTTATTTTGTCATAATTGGTGTCATTGATTATAGGGCTTCTGCTGTCAGTTCCTGCTTTATTCCTGTATACTGTTTCCTATCTAATTTGTTGTGTTACAAACTCAAAAGGTATTCCCATGATGATGATGCTGCTGATGACCAAGAGGAAACTGGGTGGAAGTACATTCATGGGGATGTCTTCAGATTTCCAAAGCACAAGTCATTGTTTGCAGCTGTTCTAGGATCTGGCACTCAGCTCTTGGCACTGTAAAATGCAGTTTCTTAAGCCTTTTTTTAACTTTTTTTTACTTATTTTATAATTTCTACTATGTATATTATGGAGATTTAGAGCCATGCTTCTCAACCTTGGATGATGCCATACTTGAATTTCACTAATACTTGTGTTTTCATGCTTACCAGTGCAATGTTCATCTTTCTTCTTGCGCTTGTTGGGGTTTTCTATCCATACAACAGAGGGGCTCTCTTTACAGCTCTGGTTGTCATATATGCTCTCACCTCGGGTATTGCAGGCTACACTGCAACATCCACCTATCTGCAACTAGAAGGAACCAATTGGGTACATTTTCTTGTTCTCCAAAAGATTTTTAAAGTTGGAAAGGCGTACCATAGTCCCATGGGCCTGTGATATGCAGCACTACCTGGCTACATCCACTCTGTCCATCCTCACTGATGGATGGTTCAATGCCCGCTGTGGATGTCACTCCATTTAGTAATCCAGGCATAATTTTGGAATATATGGTGGATGTAGCCTCGTGGTGCCATGTTCCATAGTGCATTGGACTATGGTATGCTTTCCATTTTCTCCTTGTTTTCCTACTCTGTCACTCTGAGACATATTTTTCAACTACTTTCTTGTTTTGCAATTTTCTAAAATCAGTTTTTCTTACCCAAATTGATATTATGAATATCTGGTAACTTCTGAGGTTTTTTTCACCTTCTTCCTTGCTATCTGACCCAAATGTTTCCTTCTCCTGTTTTTCTTGTAGGTGAGGAATCTTTTGCTCACTGGCTGTTTATTCTGTGGCCCCCTTTTCCTCACTTTCTGCTTTCTCAACACTGTTGCCATAGTATATAGCGCCACTGCAGCTTTACCTTTTGGTACTATATTGGTAATTCTTCTTATATGGACCCTGGTTACTTCTCCTTTACTTGTACTGGGGGGAATTGCTGGAAAAAACAGCAAAACTGAGTTCCAAGCTCCCTGCCGAACTACGAAGTACCCAAGAGAAATTCCACCTCTCCCTTGGTATAGAAGCACGATTCCTCAGATGGCCATGGCTGGGTTTCTTCCATTTAGTGCTATCTACATCGAGCTATATTACATATTTGCAAGTGTTTGGGGCCACAAGATCTATACAATATACAGCATCCTATTTATAGTATTCATCATTCTAATCATAGTCACAGCATTCATTACTGTGGCACTGACATACTTCCAGCTTGCTGTTGAGGACCATGAGTGGTGGTGGAGGTGAGTTCCAGATTTCGATGTTATAAAATTGATTCATATATTCATGTGCAACCGATACTTACCTTCAATTCTCTCAATAGGCAGGCTGGGTAAGAATATTAATGTGTACATATGCATATGCATTCCTGCATGCATGCGTATGTGTACACACACATGCATGACACATGGATGCATATATAGAAACCTCCATGCACATTAGAGTTTGTTTCGGTTTAAGCTGTCATATTTGAAACTGTTATTTTATGAGAGGAGCTCCTCCCATAAAACGATCACTCTTAGACCTGATCTCAGATTCAGAGCGTTATCAAGTTTCAAGGTTTTTGTGGTGATGGCATATGTATTGTACCCCAGTGATTTTGTTCAGAATTTCTATCTAATTTATGCTACAAAACCTTTTTAGTCATTTGGCATGTACACAAGACATTCATTCATCTAAATTGAGATCATCTTCCATCTTTGTATGTTTTTCCCCCTTTCCTGGTAGATTGCACCTGGCCTGTGCAGTAGTGAAAGACATGGGCGATGCCTAGGGGACCACTAGCAAGCAAGTGTGGTGGCCCCTTCCACTGAAACATTAATATTATATCATGTGGGCCCAATGGGCTACGTACTGGAATTTCACCTGATATGAAGAGATTATGCTCTTGAATCATCTTTTTATGTTTGCTAGAATTGTTCTATTGTTGACTGATTACACTAGGAAAATATTTTGCCTGCGCTTAAGTGAGAAGCCTAATTTTTAGAACTATGGCTGGATTATGTAGAGTTCCATGAATGCAAAGCAAAACACATGAACTTTCTTGCTTGATATTTCGAAGTTCTCTAATAGAACTATGGCTGGATCATTATCTACATGACAAAATAAAAGTTCCATGAATGCAAAGCAAAAAGACATGAACTTTCTTGCTTGATATTTCGAAGTCCCTAATAGAACGCCTGTATCCAATTTAGTGACATTTTAAATAAGCATGCAAGAAGCTGTAACTTTATTTTTTGGCTCACTAAAATGTAGTTTGAAAGCCTGATGTATATGGCAGGAGGCCCCTGTGGTTTTGTTTTTTGTTTTTTGTTTTTACTATTCCTTTTTTTGAGAGAGAGAGACAGATCAACAAAGAGGGAAAACATAATTTATTTAATAATGTTGCAGGTCTGTGCTTTGCGGTGGCTCCACTGGTGTATTTATCCTTGGGTATTGTTTGTACTATTACTATGCAAGGTCGGACATGTCGGGCTTTATGCAGACCTCTTTCTTCTTTGGATACATGGCCTGCATTTGTTATGGCTTTTTCCTCATGCTCGGGACTGTCGGATTCCGAGCCTCGTTGCTCTTTGTACGCCACATATACCGCTCCATAAAGTGTGAGTAGAGGTTTGTCCAATGGGAACATGCCATGGGGGCACAATGGAGGTATGGATCCAGCCGTTCAATTTGCTGGGTTCCAAGTCTTATATATTCTATTATAGTGGTCAAGTGGTGCCTTGATTCATGCACTTGCCTTAGCTAAATTTCTGAAATTCCTTTATGTAGAGGAAGACTGCTTTCAGTCTAGCTTTTTTGTGTAGGTTTTTATTTTGTTTTCTTTTCTTTTTTTGGTAGTTGTAATTTTGTCTTACCTTGAATTTTCATTTGTATTATTTTGCATCCCCACTGTGCTTTCATACTCTTTTGTTCAAGAGTTGGTACTGTGTGCATGTGAGAGGGGAGAGAGATGATGGTATGTTTGGGAAAATTCTAAAATATAACTAGGCGCTTTTTTGAAAGTTTTTGACTTTTAAGGTATATTTTATGAATACTTTAATATTATAGAGTTAACTTTCTGGAATTTTGTATATCTTGCCGCTACTTATATAAAGTTTTGAATAACGCCAATGTATTTTTGAAACATGAAGTGATACATTAGTTAACAGTTTCAGGTCAGGGCCTTAAGTTGAAGAAGCTGTTTTGGCTTAAGCAAAGCAGATTGAATGTGATTACATTGCTACCGAGTCGTCTAAATGCATGCTCCGAAGCAAATCGAATATGATAACATTGCTAGTGTGTTTGTAACTGTGCCGTGTGCACACGCAAGAGTTGTGAATGAGCAAATCATACATGATAACATTTCAAATCATACTCAATGTTTGTGACTCTCTACTGTATGCGCACTTGAGAGAGAGAGAGAGAGATTTGGGTAGGTAGGTGGTGGGATTGGAACTGGTAATTTTAGGTTGCAGTTTGACCATCCTAACGAGGGCATGTAGAGACTCCTTCCCCGATCATATGATGTAGCTGTCAGAAAATCGTCTAATCTTTGAGAGAGAGACGCACATTGTGAGAACAGCTTCTCTAATGTTAGAGAGAGCGAGCAACAGTTTGTACAGCAGCACGTGCAGCTTGAGAAGAAGGATCGGAGCCTTCAATGGTTTTTGGGGGCAAAGCAACGTAAAATCTGCAAACGCAATATATGCATCGGTCTGCGGCAAATTAGAACCAGCATTATGAATTTAGAAAACCGGTATTAAGGAACAGGTGGGCAATGCGCTGAACTTTGGTATCATACGTTTTTTTAGGGTTTAAAATGGTAAAAATCAGTAATGATCATTTTTTAGAAGTTGTGGTTTGGAGGGTGATTCTTTCTTTTGGGTGAATAGGTGGTGATATTCCATCACTATCACATATAAAAAATATCAAATATGCAATGGTGCTGTTTTTTATTTTTAGTTTTTTGAACATGTTCACAAGTGGCAATGAGGGCTCCATCACCCAGACTACGTCGACGCCCGTTCCTGTTGCTCGTTTTTATTTATTATATATTTGAGAAGCAATGACTATGACGCATGACCTTTTTGATAAAAGTGGAGTGCAACTGGGCTTATGGCACTACTTTCAATTAAGAAGGAAGCAATACACTGACATTCATGCCACCATGTAACGGCAGCGATAAACCTAAATAATTGCTCATGTTTGACCATGCATCTCAGCCATATATGGGCTGGCATAACTCATATACTCGAGTACTTTTTCAACATTGATCTTGAGAAACTAGGAAACCACAAGCGTTTTTGGTTATGTAGAAAACCAACTCTACCTTTTTATGGCCTGAGCTAATTTATATTTATTCAAGTTTTTTCTGAACATTGGTCTGAGAAACAGAGAAACACCGTTTTCCTTCCCGAACCATCAACCCCCCATAAACCACAGAAACTAGAGCAACCCAAGAACAGGATATGCCCTAATATGCTTATTCCCCATTTGTTTTCTGGTTAGTGGTTTCAAGGTCTTCTTTAGTGGTTTTATGCAACATGTAAGGCTAGTCAGTTCCAAACTTTCAGGACTTGCACTGAAACTCAGTTTTAAGACCAAACACCAAGGTCATCCTCCTAATCCTCAAACTTTGTTTTCTTTTCTTATTTCTGTTTCTAGTTTTTAAGTTCAGGTTGAAATAAGAGCGCTTCTGTACATGAACATAAATACAAATAACAGAAAGATAAATAATGAACAAGCTCAATTTAGTCTAAGTCATTTGTGCCAAAACATCCAAGGTCCCAAAAATTGTCAGGTGAAGGGGTACAACAATTGCAAGTAATGGGTATTTTTTTTTTTTTTTGGGGTAATTCAATGGGGAAGGCAGCCCCTGCCCCATTTTTTCAAGGATGGTTGACGGAATAAGCAGTTTACTGTTTGCAAGCTGCATGCATCACAGTTTACCATCTCAAATTAAATAAATCTAACGGCCAATGATGATTGTGATTTCCCTATATCAAAGGGAAATGATCTCATTGTATACATTTCCTTAAATAAAAGAATGACAAGACTCAAATCATTTCCTAATAAATGGGATGAGGCCTCAGATCCACAAACACAATTTGCCCCTGGAAAGTCTGAACTGTCCTTTCAAAAGCAAACATAAGGGTTCATCATAACAAATGCTTCATATAAAGCACTCCCATTTGTCCTCTATATTATCTAATTTTTCAGATCTTTTCTTATTTCTGGTTTTATGCTTTAAAAACATAACCAAGATCTTCTCAAGAAATTCCCAGTAAGATAAATTTGCTAATGCTTTAACTCAGCGCATGTGCATTATTCTACAATCCAGAAATCTACTCAAAAGTTATCTTACCCACAGAATGAGAGCTCTCATTGTAAGCATGAATTCACTAACTATTTTTTGCAATAGCATTAGTCAAAGGGTACTAGTAAATGCATTGTAACATAATTTCATATCACTCGATTAAAAAAGGCATTGGAAATACTTTGTCATCCATTTACTTCACTGTTAGAATAGATGATAAGGGAAAGCTTCTTAGCTCTGAGAATACTTGCGGGCACTCTTCTCTCATTATGGTGACAATTTGTGCACAAGAAATATTGTGAAACTATTATCATTACCTCCTATACAATCCTGAGCTCTGAAGAGTTCTGCAGTAGTCTGCAATAACTGGGGATTTCTTCACTATTTCCCAAATTTTTGCAGAATTTCGTAGCCAATCACGCTCTGCTATGGTCTTCGCAAAACTGTGACACGGCATCGATAACACCTGAAAAATCCATGGGGCCGATAAAAATGAAAACCCTAAATCGTTTGGATGAGAAAAGTGCTGATTTTGATTTCTTGGCACCAGCAAAAGTGGGTAATGTGAATTTACAGCACATTTCCAGTACCAGGTTCAAAAGTCTAGCACCCAACATTAAGAATCTCTCTCTCTCTCTTC